GGTGCCACCCAGGTGAGGTGTGTCTTCTCAGTGCATCGCATCGGGAGGCGCTCGGCACTGATGTGTCTTACTGCTTTGATCACCTGGGTGACTCCTCTTTTCAAACCTTATACCTGAGGCAGCTAACTAAACTGTCCTGAGACTTCACTGAACTGCTGTGTGTTTAGAGACAACTACGTACAGATGAAACAAGCAGCTCTTCATTGAGAGCTCTGGGATTGCCCTTCCCAAGGGGTTCAGTGCACTTTGCTACTTCATTTGCCTCTGTGGCAGCCAGAGCCAGGAAACATAATACCTTTTGTCTTTATATTTAAGAGGAATGAAAGTAAGTGTTAAGTTAAATTCAAAGTTCCAGCAGCTGGAATATGGATGGGTATTTTTTATGCCAATAAATATGTTTGGAAGAACATGCATATTAGCCTTTTATATATATAGACTAGAGGCCCGATGCATGAAATTCATGCAAGGGGCTCAGCCCTTGCAGCTGCAGTGGCTGCTTGCCTCGGCCCTCAAAGCCACAGCTGCTGCCTCGGCCCTCAAAGCTCTGGCTTTGTTTGGAAGGTCGTCTGGCCATCTGGTCTAATTAGCATATTATGCTTTTATTATTATAGACTAGAGGCCTGGTGCATGAATTTGTGCACGGCAGGGCTGGGGTGGCATGTAGATGTGCTGAGGTAGTGGCAAGCAAAGACCACAGACAAAGCGCCCCAAAACGGCCTGAACACCAGCTACACTCTGAAGTGCAAATATAGCTCTGCTTCGCTGCCCGTGCTCGGGCCACCTCATTCTCCCCGGGGCAGAGTTACTAACATACAGACAGGTCATCTCTCCTACCTCAGCCACACATTTTCTCAGCTGACTTCGGCCAATGGTGGCACACTGCCGTAGGAGTGCTAGTCAATCAGCAGTTGGGAGCATGGAAAGGCACAGGGCTGAGCTAGAAGTGGCTGACGGGGAGGGGAGGCAGAAGTGCAAGCAGTGTGTGGTGCAGTGGCAGAGGTAAGATGGCGGTGGTGCTTACTTTACGTCTTTGCAGTTAGGTGGCTTGCCTTGCCCCTTCTGCCCCCTCTGAGCTGCTACTCTGTCTCGATCAGCGTCAGGGTCACTCTCCTCCTATAGGCTTCCTGGACCCAGATTCTTCAGTACCCAGAGCCTTAGCCAGGGGAGGTACTGAAGGAGGTTGGCCAGCTGCCGGAGGGAGAGACCATGGCAGGTTGGCTGTGGGAATGCACTGACCACCAGAGGCAGCTCCTGCGTTGAGCATCTGACCCCCTGGTGGTCAGTGTGCATCATAGTGACTGGTCGACCGGTCATTCCAGTTGATCCATTGTAATGGTCACTTAGGCTTTTATATATGTAGATTTTTGAAATGACAAAATTATAGAGATGGAGAACAGATTAGTGGTTAAAGAGGATGTGGGGTGGGAGGGAAGTGGATGTGGCTATAACAGGGTACCAGGAGAGATCCTTGTGTGATGGAAATGTTTTGTATTTTCACTGCATCACTGTAAATATTCTGGTTGTGATATTGTACTGTAGTTTTGCAAGTTTCGTTAGGGGCAATTGGGTGAAAGGTACAGGGCATTTTTGTCTATTTTTTTTAACTGCATGTGAATCTATAATTATTTCAAAATAAAAAGTTAAATTAAAAAAACAACTCAATGGGGGAAAAAGGAGACATATGTAATACTTTAAACAATAAAGAATGTTAAAAAGACTGTCAGGAAGCAGCATAAAACCCAAGGGCTAAGGGGTGGAATTTGCAGAAGGCTTTGTTAACAAAGCCGTATCTCCTGAAAGTTCTTCCTACACAGTGGCAGAAATGGTCACTGCAACTGATGGCCCACTTCCTACCAGCCTAGCAACCCTGGAGGAGAGAGGACCTCTTTCTCAGTAGTACCAGCAGGATGTCCCCAGGGGCTCTGGGTGGGGGGACAGTCAGTGCTGCTCACTGGGGCTGAGGGTACTCTGAGTTGCTTCTGCCCCAGGAACAAGGTCTGGGTGTGTCCACAGCCTGTGCTCATGGCTTCCTCTTCTCTTGCAGGCGCACACTGCTGTTTTACCCTGCCTCCTTCGTCCCTGTGGGTCGTCGCACTTACGCTGATGCAGTGAACCCGGTGAGTGGCAGCCCAGTTACCTGGGAACCAGCCAGGTGGTCACAGCCCTTCCCTCTGGGCCCCCTGGGGCCCCTGGGCCCTGAGCTACCTTCCGAGTACCAGGCTTCAGAGCTTCTAGGACACTCAGAGCCACTTGCTCACATTCTTAACCTACACTCCGCCCCCCGCCCCCCAAACCTCCCTTCAAATGAGCTTTAGAGGTTAAGAGTTTAGACTCTAGAATCCAACAGGCCTGATTTCAATTCCATTTCTATCACTTAGTATGGTGGGCATTTAAAAAAATATCTGTTTCCTCATTCGTAGCATGATATAATAATCATGATTACTATATGCAATTATTATGAGAATTAAGAGAGAAAAATATCAATTGACTGCCTTCTGTACCAATTCTAATAATAACTCCATGTAGTAATCATGCATGCACAGTGCTTGCACGTGGTAAGTAATGACGAAGATGATATGATGATTGTGATAATGGTGATTGCAGGTGAGAAAACCGAGGTCCAGAAAGGGGACCTCAAGCAACATTATTAGTTGGTGGCAGAGTCTGTGTTAGAACCTGGTCTCCTGATTCTGAGTCCAAGCTTTTCCCACTAGACTATGGTGCTTCTCCTGACGGAAAACACCAGGCAGGGAGGCCTAGGCACGGTCCACTCCAGAAGCACTTTTTGTTACTGCCCAGAGGAGGACGGGTCACTCTGCACTCAGGATTCTGGTTCCTAACGTGGGGTCTAAACTTCTAAAATAGGTTGGCAGTAAAGCCGTCCTGGTCACAGGCTGCGACTCTGGATTTGGGTTCTCCTTGGCCAAGCATCTGCATTCAAAAGGCTTCCTCGTGTTTGCTGGCTGCTTGTTGAAGGTAAGAGATGGGTCATCATTGTCACCATTGTCCTTCACACATACTCATTGTTTTGTACGTTATTTTTAATTGCAGTAAAATACACATAACGTAAAATTTACCATCTTAACCATTTTAAGTGTACTGTTCAGTGATATTACATATATTCACATTGTCTAAGTACCTCATATAAGTAGAATCATACAGTATTTGTCTTTTTGTAACTGGCTTATCTCACTTAGCGTAGTCTTCAAGGTTTGTTCATGTTGTAACATCTTACAGAATTTCTTTTTTAAGGCTGAATAATATTGCATTGTATGTATATATTACATTTTACTTATCCATTCATCTGCTGATGGACACTTGGGTTGCTCCCACATTTTAGCTACTGTGAATAATGCTACTGTGAACATGGGTGTGCAAATACCTCTTCAAGATACTGTTTTCAATTCTTTTGGGCATATATCCAGATGTAGAATTACTCAAATCATGTGGTAATTCTATTTTTAATTTTTTGAGGAATTGTCAAACTGTTTTCCACAGCAGCTGTACTGTTTTACCTCCCATCAACAGTGCACAAGGGTTCTGATTTCTCCACATCCTTGCCAATACTTGTTTTCTGTTTTTAGATAGTAGCTATCCTAATATGTGCGAGGTGATGTTTCACTGTAGTTTTGATTTGCATTTCCCTAATGATCGGTGATGTTGAGCATCTTTTCATGTGCTCATTTGTCATTCATACTTTGGAGAAATGTCTATTCAAGCCCTTTGCCCATTTTAGGATTGGGTTGTTTGTTGTTGTTGTTGTTGAGTTTTAGGAGTTCTCTGTATATTCTGGTTATTAATTCCTTATCAGTTATATGATTTGCAAACATTTTCTCCCATTCTGGGTATTGTCTTTTTACTCTGAGGGTAGTGTCTTTTGATGTACAAAATTTTAAAAATGTTATTAAGTCCAGTTTGCCTATTTTCTTTTGTTGCCGATGCTTTTGGTGTCATATCCAAGAAATCATTGCCAAATCCAATGTCATGAAGCTTTTGTGCTATGCTTTCTTCTAAGAGTTTTATGTCTTACATTTAGGTCCTTGATCCATTTTGAGTTAATTTCTGTATATGGTGTTAGGTAAAGGTCCAACTTTATTCTTTTGCATGTGGATATCCAGTTTCCCCAGCACCATTTCTGAAAAGTCTGTCCTTTCCTGCACTGAATGGTCCTTGTAAAAAAAATCATGTGAGGGTTTATTTCTGGACTCCTCCTCTGATACAAAACCTTATATTCCTCTCCCTGACGCCCCAGCGCCTGCCACTCTCACCTCACACTCCTCTCCCTTACTCAGGAGGCTGCAGCCACAGAGGCTCCTGCTGTTTAACACACCAGGTACACACCCTCTTCAGCCTTGGTGTGGCTGCCTCCTCTTCCCCAGATATCTTCAAGACTTGCTCCCTCACTTCCTTCCAATGTCACCTTCCTGGTGAGGTCTTCCTTCCCTCTTTAAAACTGAACACACCCTTTACCACATTCACCCCCATCTTCTTTTCCTGCCTCTCTCTGGGATCATAAGGAAGGCTCGATGGGCCAAGGTGGCATCTCATCGCCATCTGGAAGGATAAACAGGAGTTCCCTGTGATGGATGGAGGTGACAAAGCCAGACACTGCCAGTCATCTGACGTGGCTGAAGCCCAGTGCCCTCGTGGAACTCGTGGACGAAGAGGAGATGAGCTGGGAAAGGAAGGCAGGACCGGAGCAGGAGGGGCCCTGAATGCCTCTGACGCGGCTTTTGTCAAGGATGCCAGATCCATCGGTCACTTCTCAGACCAGGCCATACTCAACCCGTCAGCAGACTTGACCATACGACTCTTGTTTGTAACACTTTGTTTCTTGACTTCGTGGACACCTTTCTCTCCATCTTCTCTGCCAGCTCCTCCTGCTGCTTCTCCTGTAACTAGTACAACGCCCTAGGCTTGCTTCTCTCGTCACAGTGTTTCTCAGGCATGTGACAAGATGCTCACAGGTAACAAGTGCTGAGTGTCCTTACACCTGGCCTTGAGGTGTTAGAGCACTAACAACAAATGCTGGGAGACTGTGAAACCTTTCTGCCAGGATTAGCCCATCAGCTGTCTCACGGTGGAGGAGGTGGAGGGGTTGGACAGAGTTGATAGTGTGCTGTGGTATTTTCCATCTGGTCTCAAGTAAAATGAAGTTGGTTTCAAGAGAACTCCTTGGAGAGCTTACCATGTGTGCCCTGGCATCTGAGGCCACAGAATGATGTGTTCATGTTTGCAAGGGCCAAGAAAGAGGCCAGAGTGGCTCGTCTGGAAGCAGTGCAGAGAGAGCTGCCTAGGGGAAGGGCTGTCCTTCTGCCTGGGCAGGACACTGTTGCCTGAACCTGATGTGGATAATGGGAGAGCCCCTGGAATCATCTTAAGGGCACCTGCCCAGTGAAACTCCAAGAGGGCCATGCGACCTGACCAGAGGGGTGGCTCCCGGAAGCCCTGGCTGAGGGAGAAGATGCACAGTAGGAGGAAGGAAGGCCACAGGAGTCTCCAGGGGAGGGATCTTCTCGGAACCCACAAAAGTGCCCCAGGGAGGGAGGGCCAGCCAGGGCACCACCCTCACAAGACCAGAGTCTTGCTCCCTCACTTGTCAGCCTCTGCATCCAACCCTGGGAGGATCTGAGATTAAGGAATAAGAGAGGAGGAGCAGCTAGAACATAGTGAGAAAGACAACCTCTGCCCCTGCTGCCTGGCGTCCCACGCGGGCTTCCCACACTCCGTCAGGCCTGCGGCAGGGCAGGCTCTAAACTGGATACAAGTTGGAGGGAGAGTTTGGGTTTTCAACCCACACTGGGCTAGAGTTACTTGATTAGCAGACCGAATTGGACTCTTTGTGCCAAAACAAAGAGTCTCTGTATTATCTGAGAATGAGTGGAAGCACTGTAAGACTTGCCTGGAATTTCATCCAGGTGTGGAAAACATAGCTTACAGATGAAGTTTAAAGGGATAGTGACAGAAGTTACTGCCCCTTTACGAAGGGACCAACGCAGCAGGACCGAAAGCTCCTCTCTGAGCAGCAGACAGATGTGGAGCCGGGGATGCGGTGTGGCCCAGGCAGTGCGGCCGTGGCCTGAGGATGGGGACGGGCCACCTCATCTGCAGCCTGCAGACCGAGGGCCGTTGGGAAAGGTTTCCTTTGAACAGCTGGGGCAAAACAACAGTCCCCTTCCCCATGGAGGTGGCTGTCGGGAGCAGGGTGTGCAGGCTGCTTAGAGATGAGTGCGGACTCCTGAGGAGGTCTGTCAGGTGAAGGGAGGAAGGTGGGGCTTCCCTCCTGGGGGCCTGAATGCTGAGCCTGAAGCTGTGGGCTATGAGATGACCCCCCCAGCTTCCTTTGAGAGAAAGCTCTTAGCTGCCAAGCTGCCAACCTAAGTTCATGTGGACCCCCTGACCGAGGTGAGGGGGGTCCCCGAGGACACGGGAGCATTGGCTCCATGCTGGCCAGAGGCACGGGGAGAGGCCAGGGGTGGGGTCCAGGAGTCACTGAAAGATCCCAGGAAGAGGAAAGGACACTCAGGTACCTCTCGTGCATCCTCAGCTGGAATCTTACCTATTGGAAGTTGATGTCAGCTCCCCCTCAGAGACACGGAGTGCTTGGGCTCAGCTCGAGGGGCATTTGAGAGCCTCGATATGAAAAGTGCATGAAAACAAGTCATGTTTTCCTGGTGCCTGTGTGCTGTGTGTGGAAAAGAGAGGTGTCTGTGGCACCAGCCCCTCCAGCCTCTGGACTCGAAGGTGGCGTCCCCGGGGAATTCTTTTCTGGAACCCTCCGTGGAAACGGCAGCAGAAACGGCAGGCTTGGCTGCCCCTCTGTACAGGTAGATGGAGCACCTGCCGATGGCACATCCGGGGCGGGGGGCGGGGGCGGGGGCGGGGGCGTTCAGAGCCAAGCCTTGCATGAATCGAGCCTCACACCTGGCTGCTCTGTGCAGACATGATTCTGGGTGTAGCTGCCATTCCTGGTGCCAGGTTGGGCAGAGACTCAAGCATGTTGCTTTTTCAGTAGAGACACTGTGGGGGGGAGTTATCCCTGGAGAGGATGGCAGTTTAGGCTGGAAGAGATCTTAGAGGAGGGGTTTTCTCTGCACCATGTTCCCCATCCTGTCCCAACCCCACCTCCACCATCATTGTCTGAATACCACTAGGCCAGTGATGGCGAACCTTTTGAGTTCGGCGTGTCAGCATTTTGAAAAACCCTAACTTAACTCTGGTGCCGTGTCACATATAGAAATCTTTTGATATTTGCAACCATAGTAAAACAAAGATGTATATTTTTGATATTTATTTTATATATTTAAATGCCATTTAACAAAGAAAAATCAACCAAAAAATGAGTTCACGTGTTACCTCTGACACGCGTGTCATAGGCTCATGCCATCCCCGGACTCTGAAAGTCACTCCTCATTTTGAGCCAGATTTGCCTTCTTGGCCCTGGTTCTGTTTTCTGGGCTGCGTAGGACAAGTTGGCTCCCATTTGACACGGCCCTTCACCATTCTCTCCTGAGTCCCTCTGACAGTACATCCCTCTGACACTGAACTGCAGTCCTGGGGTTCGAGTCCTCCTTGTTCAAACCACTTACACGAGACTCAGACTACCCCAGAGAGAACCCTCCACGGACACGCTGACCCTCCTTGTGCTTTCTGCTCTGCCACTTGTTCAGTACCAGCTGCCTGTGCCCCGGGCAAGCCTGGGCTGAGAGTCGGCATTCCTCTTATCGCTTCATCCTCCGGCAGCTGTTCCTGTCCTCTGTGAGATGCGACACTGCTCCCTGCACCACTGAGAAGATCGCTGCCAATTAAATGATGACTGACTGTTTAATTTCCCCTCGTTTGTAGCTCATGCCTATTGTGAAAATATGTGGCATAGACTGATGAATGTGGTAATGCCTCTGATGTGAGGGCTAACAGAGTGAATGCATGTCAAGTGCCCAGCACCATGGGAAGCACAGCAAATGCCCCCAAAACGACATCTGCTTTTATTCAAACCCCCGAGCAGCTGCCCACTGCCCACACAGACCCCTGCCCACCTCTCAGCCTCTTGTCCACAACGTCCTCAGGCCTCTGCTGCCCCTGCTGTGGCTTCTGGCAGCACCCTCTCACCTCTGCCGGAAGTGCCCCATCCACAGGGGCCCCTCTGGCCGTGTCTTCTGCTGTCAGTGCCTTTGAAAAGCCTCCCCTGCCCGCCCCACCTTCTGTGCAGCCCCACTCCCCATGAGGCTTCCTGCAGCAAAACTCCCTGTACTGTGTGTTTACTCATCTGCCTCCTTCCCTAACGTGGCTTTCTGAGAACAGGGGCTGCGTTATTTGTTTTTATGTCTCCAGTACTTAGCACAGAGGCCCACGACATGTTTGCTGAGTGAGCGATACTTTTCTCATGTGTAATAACACCTGAATTTGCATAGCGCTTTATCATTTCATGGGCTTTTAAAAAACAATTTCCTCGTTCCATTAACCTGAGCAGGTCCGGACAGGTGGCGATGTCCTTATGACTAACTGTAGCTGGAAAAACCGGGCACCTGTTGAGGGATGCACCTGAGTGCACAGAGCCTGGTTAGTGGCCAAACTGGCAGCAGAGCCTGGCCCTGGCCACTTACCAACTTGCAGGTTTCAGGGCCTTGGCTTAGAACAGAGGTGGCAAACGGGCCGCCTGCTGGTCACAGGTGGCAGGTGGATGTGCTTTGGCCCACATATTTTTTTTTTTTTAGAAAACCCAAGTAAGTTGCCAACACTTAAAAAGTTAGGAGCTTCTGCACAGAAATCCCAATTACAAGTATAAAAATCTAAGCATCTGGCAACCCTGGGCTCACATTCACATGTGGACAACAGCTGAGCGGGGGTGGGGGTGGGGGGCGGGTTGAGAGGTGAGACTTGTGCTCCACTCCCAAGAGTCCCCTTCTTATCATGTGACACCCACATGCCTGGCCCCGGCACTGAGTGTGTAACTTCTGCTTAGAGAATGACCCTGCCAGTGAGGATTTAGGGGCTCATGGTTGTGTCTATGGCACATAGTTTGGTGCTTGGTACATCATCAGTGCTCAAACTAAAAAAAAAAAAAGACCGTACCCTTTTATGTAATGATGTTTACTTTGAATTTATATTAGTTCACACAAACACTCCATCCATGCTTTTGTTCCGGCCTTCCGGTCCAGTTTAAGAACCCATTGTGGCCCTCGAGTCAAAAAGTTTGCCCACCCCTGATTTAGGGGCTCATGGCTGTGTCTATGGCACGTCGTTTGGTGCTTGGTACATCATCAGTGCTCAGGGATTAGGCCCAGGTGGGCCTGCCGTTGTTAGTAGCCCCAGGCTTAGGTAGGGACTGGGCCAGCCCCCTGCCTTGGCCCTGGTCCTCTTCTATAGACCAGTGATGGCGAACCTTTTGAGCTCGGCGTGTCAGCATTTTGAAAAACCCTAACTTAACTCTGGTGCCGTGTCACATATAGAAATTTCTTGATATTTGCAACCATAGTAAAACAAAGACTTATATTTTTGATATTTATTTTATATATTTAAATGCCATTTAACAAAGAAAAATCAACCAAAAAAATGAGTTCGCGTGTCACCTCTGACACACGTGTCATAGGTTCGCCATCACTGTCCTAGAGGCAGGGGGGTGAAGCAGCTCCTCTCTCCTCCCAGGACAAAGGGGATGCTGGAGCCAAGGAACTGGACAGCTTGAAGAGTGATCGATTGAGAACTGTTCAGCTCAACGTCTGCAAAAGCGAGGAGGTGGAGAAAGCAGTAGAGGTTGTCCGCTCGAGCCTGGAGGACCCCGAGAAAGGTAGGGGGCCCTTGGGGCAGTGGGGTACTGCACGGGCGCCTTTCTAAACACC